AGAATAGGTCACATAATTTAGCCATATTCTTGCTACGTTCATTTCAATAGTTTTTCCTGTATAGACTCTGAAAAACTCGTCCAGCAAGCTTATGGATTTGAATTATGGGTGTTTAAAAAAAAAAGATAACTTGGCCAAAAAAAGTGTAGGCCCGGGCCTACAGTGCTACATACTGGCTACGCCCCTGCCTGATAACTATTTGATATGGTTAGGGTTAGGGTTAGGGAGTAGGCGTAGGCGACTCCCTAGACTCGTTAGTGGAGTAGGCGAGGTACGGTCCGGCATATTAGATAGTACTAGGGTACGTTCCGGCAGTACCCTGGGGGACATAGACCCTCTCAGCGTCAGTGAAATAGCTCTGTTTTGTTGAACATATTGATACGGTTTATATTATTATAGCTGGGCATTTAGCAACTGATTGCATGTAGTTGTAAGTGCATTTATAACTTGCCTTTAGATGCTCAACCTGCCACCAATAATAAATGTATTTAGTTCCAGTTCCTCCTTATAGCTGGGCAAGCTAAGCCTTCCTATCCAAAAACGTTCATAAATATATCACTCGATAATATATAAATTTCATGGATGCTGATAAAGCCATGGATATGACATAAATTTAACAATTATTACAATGTGGTAATTGGTCATAACCTCTGCTCTATACCTCAAACTCCAGGACACAGTCAGAAAACCAAAAGGAAATAGGTGTCTCATAGGAAAATGCTGTGACAGAGGATCCGACATCACAAATGAAACCAAGCAAACATAGCATGCAAATACTAAGTAGTAGAAGCTCAGCTACACCCTGCACCCACATTGAAAACATGCATGCACCGTTCGCTGTGTGGGTACTATGATTGCTTTACCATTCTCTGCTTCTGTTCCAGGTCTCCTTGAAGAACCTCTGTTGCCAGTTCAGTTCAGCTCATCTGATGTTCAATATAAGATTTTCGTATCTGGCCGTTCAGGTGTCGGTAAAACCAGTGCATTAGCAAAACTATCAGGCAATGAAGTCCCTACAATGCATTCTGAAACTCCAGGTAAAATGCGCTCCACCATTTATATGTTGTTGTTCTTAACATTAATTGCAGTATCATCCCCCCCACGCACACATGCACACAGAAATGTTTGTCTCCCAGATATTATTTCATGTATCTCTCATTCGCAGATGTTTTCTTAGAAAGCTTGGCAATTTATAACAAGCAGGTAATACTGTAAGTTTCCATTTTCTAGGTATTCAGACTCAGGTTGTCTACTGGCCAGCAAAGCTTGTTCAGACTAACAAGATTGTTATGTTTCGCCTACACTTCTGGGACGCAGGCGATGCAGCACTGAAGAAATTTGATCACATCCTTCCAGTGAGTCTTTTACGTTATAGAAACACCCGGCCACTTTCTCGTGCGAACTTGCTGTGCCATTCCATCTGGGGATGATTATATTGCTGCCATTGCTGCCAAATGAGCGAGATATGATGAGAAACCTAAGTCAAATATCAGTGCGTGTATAGATTCAGTTATTCAAGAGTCCTATTTAGGCAAGGAGGGAGGATGGAGTAAAATTTCAGTTTTCAAATTTCATACTTTTTCTCAAGATATGATCTGACAGACCCAATTACAATCGTTTTTCTAGTGGATAATGGTTTTTGCATTAATTTTTGTGTGAACAAGCTTGACATCCACTTTGCTATCTGATTTCATTTGTTGGTTGCTCACATGGTTAGTATTGTTTGTGTTTCAGGCATGCAAGGAGAATGCAGATGCAGTGGTATTTCACTTCTCATTCACGGACAGGGGGAGTTTTGAGGACCTTCCCCGGCATATGGCACGCATTGTTTCTCCCTCGGACAACACCTGCAAGCTTGTTCTCGGAACAAAGTAAGACCAGAAGCACTGCAACATGTTTGGCAGTTAGCTATATAATCAATAAAATAATAATGCTATAAGCTATGCTAGCTGCTGTAATAATATCGCAATACTATCGCATAAATCACTCAATTTGAATATTCTAACGTTTGTGTAATTTTTATGCACCATGTGCTCGCTTAGCTTAATGAGATTGTTGTCACTTTGATTATTTATATTCACTAATTGGTTGGAACTTATAGAACGCATATTGATTTTTCTTTAGACAAAGGGGTATATAGAATATATAATAATATGATAATATATAGTATATTATAAATTCATGGGTTTTGTAAACAGTGGAATATCCTATAATAGAACAACAATTCGTACTGTGTTGTGATCGATATAAAACACTAACATGTGATTTACAATCAATATTTTAGTTTAATGTTGGATCTGGACATTGTGTCTTTAATTTGCTGTTACATCATCCAGGTACGACCAGCTAGCACACAGTGACGTCACCCACCAAGAATTACGCGAGTTCGAACAACAGTACAAGATCCCTGTGCTAAAGATCGCCAACATTGCCAACTACGAACAGTCAGAGCTGCAGACGGAAGTCCACGAGGTGGCGCCGGTGTTGAACACGCTGTGCGAGTATCTATGGCGACGAGACCAGGTCGCGGCGGGCGTGCTGCAGACAGAACGACAGACGGACGAACAAAGACACAGCGACGAAGATCAGATGGTGCTGTACTTTTAAAGCTGCGATATTTTTCAAACTTTCTCGTAGTAGTGGAAATTTTTTTTAATGATTATTTTTAAGTAGACTCACAGAATACTGAGTGTATATAGTAGAGAAATTATATAATTTATTTTATATGAAAATTGTAAAATATTAACTTTATTTGTAATATTTTTCTACAGTGTACATAAGTAAAACATAGAATCTTATCGCAAGAATTCAATGATATTTTTTTAACTCTTTCCTGTGCTCACCTTTACATATATATTTATATGACATGTTTCTATCATATTATTTAGGTGTACATTTCAATGATTATACAACAAAGTTAACCTAACAATTCCAGACTAACTTGTAATAAAAATTTTGATTCACAAATATAATTCTGATCTTGCATTGGTCATAAATGGAATCACTATTTGGCACTAATACTGTAATCTCATTCAGTCTAAATACAATTCATACCAAAAATGTCATACATGGAATAAAAAAAATGCCATAAATGGAATCACTATTTGCCACTAATACTGTAATCTCATTCAGTCTGAATACAATTCATACAAAAACTAAACAACTTTAATATAGGTTCAGTTCTCAGTCCAGTCTGACTCTCCTAGCTCCATCACAAGGTGTGCAGATATAGCATGTCGCACTGCCACTGTATTTAATCTGCAAGTGTTAAATTCATATTTATAGTAGTTGATACTGTACAAATGTGAACGCATCACACATAACTCACTAAATACGACTGCCTAACCGCTTATCTTATATCAGATTACGTGGAAAAATATAAGAAAATTGCACACTAGCAATGCCACTATTAGTATTAATTCATTGCCCAGTGAGATATCACATTTTAACTTCACCTTGATGGCATCTTGGAGATGGTTTATGGCTTCAGTCTTTAGCAGAGTGACCGTGCATCCCCCGAACCCACCCCCCGTCATGCGAGAACCGTACACCCCCTTCACGGATAAGGCAATGTCGACCAGTTCATCGAGCTCCACACAGGACACCTGAAAATCATCCCTAAAAATAAACAAATAAATAACAAATAAACAAATAATAAAGAGATTTTACCATCGATCGGAGGTGGCAGTGAATCGAAACGGCAGTTTCAATGCTGTGTACAGTATTGACCACTGACCACGGTTACTGTAGTTGCTCTACTAAGTTGGAGCTCCCCAGCCCAAACTATACACGCCATCTATTCATTCCCGGATTTTGACAGTCGGGAATTTCCACGCTAGCTAGAAAGATGCAAGTGGCTACCTTGTAAAGGGTTCCCTAAGAAGAATTACCTGAGAGAATTATGGCTGGCAATCATCAACTTGCCGAAGCACGTATAGTCGCCGTTCTCGAGAGCAAGCACGGATTCTTCGGTTCTTTGAATCTCGCCGATGACGTGCCTGGCACGACGGTAGACCTCATCAAACAACTCGTGCTTGTGCCCTACGAAAAATATGACTCGATTCATTTAGAAAAATACAAACACAATCGAGCTAACGAGAGACCTGAATATGATCGACAGTGGCTCGTCAATTCTGTGATTTAAAGCTGTTTTTCGAGCGTTGCAGTCGTCCGTTTACTAGTCTTTTTATTATTTTTACTTTCATTATTTTTTTTTTGTTCACGGTCGTCATTGGGACAGGTGGCATCCAGGTAAATATTCAGGTAAACCGTTCACTGTATACCAACCTTCTAGCTCCTTGATGGTTGCATCCCTCAGACTTGTTTTACCGAGTGCATGGGCAGCTTCCTCACATTGCCGCCTCCTCGTGGGGTATTCACTCCCAGTGAGCTCATGTCGAACATTGGAGTTTGTAACAAGGACTGATAGCCCAGGGTCGTTCATTGGAACCAACTTAGATTCCATTGACCTACGTATATAATACAATTATTATAGAATGTATTGAGAAATACAATAAAGGATCAAAGCAGGTAATTTACTAACTGCTATAAATGGCAATAGAGTCATAATAAAGTCAAAGGATAATAAAATATATAACACATGCAGTTATTAGTAAAACCATTAATATTGGATGCTTAATTAGAAATTACATAAAATCTCTTTGATAATAATACAGTATACATAGTAAGACATCTAGAGCTTCTGTAATCTCTCACCTACAATCAATAAAAAGAGCATGTCCTTCTTTAGCCATGAATGACACAAACTGGTCCATAATCCCACAGGGCATGCTAGCAAAGTCATGCTCTGCTTTCTGACAAGCAAGTGCCTTATCTTTCAAGCTGAAATTCTGAAATTTTGCACACAAATATGGTGTCTATAATAATACAATTGTAAAATGTTCAGAAATATTTTTCACTTTTTATTTTTTGTTTACATCTTAATGGGCGATGGTTTGCTAGTATTAGTCGTTAACGGACACATATTTATTTAAATTACAATAAGTAATGTGTAAACTATCTACATGTGATTTGATAACTTTAAAAAAGTCTACCAGAATGCATAAATATGTAACTTTGCTATAATTTCCAGGAATATTGGAGTGGCATTTTTACATTAGTTTGAAATTGCAACTGCTTAGGTTTTTAGACTGTCAAGTCCAGGTTTCTCAACTCATCATGTAATTTAATCTACATGCCGTCAGGAGCTAATAATGACAAATTTTCCATTATTTGACAAATTTGTCAGATAATGACAAATTTGACCCACAAATAACGACCTACAAATAATGACAAATTTGTCATTATTAGCTCCTGATGCCGTGTACGTTTCTGCTGAAAGCCGACCTACCCCATTATCCTGTGAAATCTGATCGAGGAACATGTAAGTGGCGACCTCTAGTGCGGCAGAACTGGAAACTCCGCCTCCAACTGGCACCGAAGATGCAATCACTGCATCGAATGAACACAGCTTGCCTAGTATATATAAATAAATAAGAAAGTCATTGTTATACACTATTGTTCTCGTGATACTAGTGGTTGTACTATTTTATCAAGAAACATCAGGATTAAAAATAAAACCTGCCTTTGTAATTTGCCATGACACCTTTCACATAGTTTGCCCAAGACGGTTCTCCTGGTGCCAGCTGATCTTTTTCCGAAGGTAATTGTAATTCAATCGTTCTTGGTTGATCAACATTTTCTGCTAGTGTGCTGATACGGCAAATGTTAGAGTTGGTTTGTCTACCTACCATGACTGTGACAAGAGGTAGAGCCTATATAACAAAGAAATGATTATTGATAATACAGACTACAGGTACAGCTATCAAACAATGCAAAATCCCACCACTCACCAGGTCATAATCTATAGTGACGTTTGGAATTATAATAATTAATATATAGAAGAGTCAAATTCAGTCAATGTAAAATTTTAAAGTGATATAAACTAAGAGTATAATAATGTGAAAGGTTTCGGACTTTGGAATACATATTATAGTATTTTGAAGCATTTTTATTACTGCCAAGTCTCATTACCATTGCCATTGGCATTAGACTACTACCAAGTGACACAATGTCAATACAAATTACAATATTCAATAATAATAATATGCAGATGCAGTCACTGGCAGCATGAACAAGCCCGCACGTACAGCACACACGCGACCATTGACTATAATAACAACATGGTGCCTAACTCGCCGCCGCAGTTTCTACAACTCCCGTTTTCAATCAGTTACAACTCCGGTGTTCCTGCAGGTGACGCCACTTTCCAACTATCGTTGGAATTGTGGAAGACTGCTGAACAAGTTACACCAACCATTTTTGACAATCGGCCTGCCAGAATGCGCTCAAATCACAGAAATTCCTCAAATATAAGGCGCGTTCACACAAACGTTTTTGGCCCGAGCCTAACTAGGCCCGCGCCAGATTTGGCTCAAGCCGAGCGTTCACACAGACGTTTTTGGCCCGAGCCTAATTAGGCCCGTGCCAGATTTGGTCCCATCGAAAACGTCGGACCAGGCCCGAGCCAAATTTTAGCACCAGCTTTCGGCGAGCGGTAGAGCGGTAGAATCGGTTGAGCGGTAGATGCCGCAAGTGTCGAACGTGTACTTCGACGAAATAAAGTCCAAAACGGTATAAAAAAAATTTGATCAGGATGCACGTTTTCAAAATTGATAATTGAACTCGGAACGGAAGTAAACACTGAATCGTACACAATGCCATCTCGCGACATACTGCCAAAGTATCTGTGAGATATTTGTGCAATAAAATTTATTTCAACTTGAATTTGAATTTGACAGACAGTATTCACTTGCGTACGTGTGAACGCTCCGACTCAAACCGGCCCGAGCCAAATTTGGCCCGAGCCAAATCTAGCCCATTTGGCTCGAGCCAAACCATGACCGTGTGAACGCGACTATACATGCGAAATGATCCTTCGGATGCTACCAGGCAAACGGGCGGCATGCCCAATCGCTGGCGGCTGCGTTGATTGGCTGCAGCAAGCTTAACGTGCAGACAGACTGCGCAACTACGTTTGTTGACATTGCGGGTGAGTCATAGCCAATCAGCGCAGCCGCCAGCGATTGGGCATGCCGCCCGTTTGCCTGGTAGCATCCGAAGGATCATTTCGCATGTATATTTGAGGAATTTCTGTGATTTGAGCGCATTCTGGCAGGCCGATTGTCAAAAATGGCGGGTGTAGCTTGTTCAGCAGTCTTCCGCGATTCCAACGATAGTGGAAAAGGTGGCGTCACCTGCAGGAACACCGGAGATGTAACTAATTGAAAACGGTGAGTTGTGGAAACTGCGGCGGCGAGTTAGGCACCATGTTGTTATTATAGTCAATGGCCGCGTGTGTGCTGTACGTGCGGGCTTGTTCTTGCTGCCAGTGGATGCAGGGGCCCACTACGGTTCAAGGATAGAGAACATGGGTCCCAATAAAACCAATGCAATGCCAATGGCAATGTCATTTACATCAATATAAATATAATATTATATCAATATAATAGGTTAGGGTTATGGTTAGGGTTATAGTTAGGGTTAGGATTAGGGTTAGGGTTAGGGTTAGGCACATTGGTTTTATTGGGACCCATGTTCTCTATAGTCTATCCTTGGGCCCTGACTACTGGCAGTAGACACTAAGACAGGGAAAGGAGCAAGTGCCTGTGATTTTAGACATATACCATGGGCAAAACGAAGCCTGCATTGTAGTCTGTGTGCTCTCCAATCAGATTTACCCGGCCGGGCGCAGCAACTGCACATATATCTCCATTACCGAAAAGTTTAATAAAGTTTTGCCGAGCAAAATTCGTGATACGTTTTTCTTCAATGGACGCTGCCATGTTGGCTCAATATAAAAGTCGGTTACGTAACTAAGGGTATATTTAGCCGAGTACTGTTTCCATTGCAAAACTCAGCTATTATTAGCGATAAAACAACTTAGATAAATTATAGTTTATAGCTATTATTATCTTAACATGATTATTAACTATTTAGCCGCGTTACACACGTGTCAGTCGCATTTTACCTATTACAGTTTTGCAAGATGTCGTCGATGACGAGCAAGTAAACAAAATCGATCCAACATTGCAATTTTCTGTGAAAAGTGAGACTGTGCTAGCCGACTGACACTCCTGGAATGTCAGTCAGTGATCCATTGCTAAAAAGATTTAAAGGTATGCGACGATAGACATGTTAATATTGTACGAACGAACGTTTTCGCGCGGCACCGCAGTGGCAGGACACAGCGAACTGATTGTGTGGATAGACATCTAATTCTTTTTCACTTTGGTCCTTTACGGAGTAGCCTCCCCTTTTTTATGCATACATTTCTAAATAATACTAATAATATACGTTTCTTTTCGTGACTCATAAAGATACATGCCGTAGACCGGGCGTGGAATATGTAAATTGTAAGGACAGTCTAAGTCTTACTCTAAGCCCATGACCATGTTTTGTCGGCTTCATATGAATTCTAAAGTTACTGTCATACTGAATACTGCAGGGATAGAAATTAACTTTTAAACACGGGAGTCCAACGGACTCCCTACTCTCAAAAAGACGAAGTCCGCAGCAAAATGACGGACTCCGCAGTCTGAAGTTCAACATTAAAGATATTATTATTAACAATAACGCATGTGCATATTTTGAAGATTCATGCGGTTGCATGTCTGCCAAATTTTCTTTGGACATTTGCTGAAAAACGTACAGTAATTCTGTGAGGCCGTGCTCTGGAACGAACTAGTTAGTATGGCAGAATTTTCAGGGAGTCATACGGACTCCTGCATATGTCAAATCAGGGAGTCCAACATTATTCAGGGAGTATTTGACTCCGGACTCGCGTTAATTTCGCACCCTGATACTGTATATCATTTAGACGATCAAAGCCGTATAGTGTTGCATATCACGTCCAATTTCACTTCCTCGGTAATTTTAAAAATGTATTCACCAATAACACTGCTATACTTTTGTGGAAATGGAGAAGTTGAATACTGTGGTTGCTGATAATACAACACTATTTCCGAATTCTCTGTTAGCCCACCTGTAAATCGTTCCAGCGACAAGCGATTCGTGTTCCCCAATGCTAAGAGATGGGTTATTGCCGCTTGGGAAAATTGGATGCCCTGACTTCGTATTAACTCGTAGCCTTTACGCACGCACACGCACGATCTCTCTCTTTCGCTATCTATCTATCTCTCTGTTTCTATCTCTCTTTTTCTTTTGCTATCTATCTATCTCTCTCTTTCTATCTCTCTCTGTCTCTATCTCTTTCTATCTCTCGCGC